TCCCACCCGGCCCGGGCGGACAATGTGATGACCTGGGGTTGTTTTTTTGGTTGAAGATTCTGAGAGACTTGACACTAATTTTGAGAACCCGTATTTTTCTCACGTGTAGTGGGTTATGCCGCGTCTGTCTGTCACATTCTCGTGTCCGTAGCTGCAATAAATTTTTAAAAGACGTTGGGAAACCAACTTTGTTCAAAACCCCAAACCACATTATGCGAGTTTTTAAGCTGAGTTTCGAAAAAGATTTCTCCTCATGATCTGATCACTTACTCGCGTGTGAAGAGCTCTACGAGAGCCCCGGCGGTAACCTGGTTGACGGTTTACCGCCGGCTCCCAGTACCTCGTAGAGCTCTTCGGGATCGATGAGCTAGAGGAGTTCCGGCGCGGGGTGCAGCTAGTTGGCCCACCCGCCCCGTGCGGACAATGTGGTGTCCTGGGCTCGGTTTTTGGAAGATTCTGAAAGATTTGAACATTCGTTTTGAGAACCAGTAGTTTTCTCACGTGTAGTGGGTTATGCCGCGTCTGCCTGTCAAGTTCTCAGGTCTGTAGCTGCAGTATTTCTATCGAAAGACGTGGAGGAACCGACTTTACCGCCGGCTTCCAGTGTGTCCCCATACTCGTGATGGGAAGCTCTCCAGCACATCGTTCGGATCGTTCGGAGCGAACTCCAAGTCCTGCCAGCTTGCTTCGCCAGGACTTCCCACGCTGTACTTCGATGAGGTCTTACCTCATAGAGATCTTCGGCATCGATGAGCTAGAGGTTCCGGCGCGGGGTGCAGCTAGTTGGCCCACCCGGCCCGGGCGGACAATGTGGTGACCTGGGTTCGTTTTTCGGAAGATTTTGAGAAATTTGAACATTCCTTTCGAGAACCAGTATTCTTCTGACGTGTAGTGGGTTATGCCGCGTCTGCCTGTCAAATTCTCAGGTCTGTAGGTGCAGTATTACTATCAGAAGACGTGGAGGAAACAACTTCGTATAAAACCGAAAATTGCATTTGTCTTATGCTGATACGCGTGTTAAGAGCTACGAGGGCCCCGTCTCAAGAACGTCTCGGCTCAAGAACGTCTCTGCCTGGGTAACCTCCAGACGTTCTAGCGGGCCACTGCCTCGGGGAGTGAGACTGGGCGAAGGGCCGCGAGGCCTGGGCGATCCTGGGATCCCCCGCGGTCTTTTGTCTGCATACATTACCTCTCTGTGTATTGTGCGCTGATTTTTTCTTCTTGGTATTGAGGAAGTTTCTTGTGCGCTGTATTGTTTGTTGACACAACGTCGTACGACAGCCCTGAGGCCCAGCTGGCCTTGAGGGAGAGAGATCGGTCTTGAACATTGGGGAGAAAGTACTGAGGAGTGGTTTCGCCGTCAAAACTGGACATACCCACAGAGGATTATCAGGGCGAGAGGGTCAATTTCGATTATCTCGAGGAATACCAGCCTTGGGATCAGAAACGTTTGCAGGCACTAGAGGCTGCATCAAACAAACGTCAACGAGAGGGCGACAATAATTGGTTGGATAGATACGGTTTGGACGGAAGTATTCTTGAACATATGACTCATGTTGCTGCTGCGGCTGATGCCGAGATGACGGGTGAGACTGAGACTCGATCAAAACGTGCTCGTGGGCAAGAGATTGAGCAGGAGAGGAGTTTGATGCTGGCACAGGAGAAGGGTCCTTTCGAACAAATGATGATGAAGCATGTTTGGAAAACGGAGGATGCACATGAAGATCTCATCCATGTTGTTCAATCGACGAAGACGGACATCAAGCGAGTTGATGACACACTTAGGTCACATGCAGAACGCATGGACAAAACAGATGCACGGACAGTTATTCTGGAGAAACAAGATATTGGCTGGATCTCCCGCTGCATCGGTCTCGACAAGTGTTGGCCCAGGAGGGTCCTCTGGTGGTGGCGTCTGTGCGGGCCCTCGTTATCAACAGGATCGACCGAGCCAGTTTACGCCAACTTACCTTGAACTCAAAGGGTGGGTTACTGATTGGTCGAACCAAGTAAATCGGGGACATCAAATGATACCCTGGGCGGATGCATCACAACTGATATCGAATATGATAGGAACACTTCAGGGGGAGGAAAGGAATGCCTATGATTAAGACAAAACTGAACGATTAAACGGATGACGGTATATGTACGGAAGTGTGAAGATCGGTTTCAAAGAAGGGACATCACGGGACACCCTCTGGATAATCAAGAAATGGACAGACATGGTCTGCAAAGACCCAGCCGACCGTCTCGCTCCGCCTCCAGGTTATACATATCCAGATGTTGAGGTTCTCATTCAAAATATGGACACGCCTATTGACCCCAAAAAGATTCGTACGCTGGTGGAGTGTCCCCCCTGGAAGCGTGATCATGTGAAAGCGGTGGCTCGTTTTTGTGGTGCTTGGCGTAGTTTGACATCGGCTCATGTTCAAATCGAGATCCGTGGGGAGATGGGGCCACCGAGGAGTCAGATTTGGACTCAAGCTGCTCCGAATCTCCGTCCCGTTTGTTTTGCGACATATACAAACACTACTGGGGCCTGGGTTTTGCATGCTGACGCTTGGGCTCGTATTGTATATATCTATCCGGCGCTGACGGTCCCCATGGATGCGGTGCTTCAGGAGGTGAATCGTAGGCAGTGACGTTTACGGCGCCTCATCCGAGGCATGCGTTTGGGGGGCTGGAACCTGAACGAAGCAGGTGAGGCTCACTTTAAATGTGCTGAGATTCTCCACCATCTGCGGGCATGTGGGGGGCTCTTTGCATGTCAGGAAACTCAATACCTTGTGCATGGTGAATTTGAACGCCTGGGGTGGCGCATCAAAGCTAGTTGGTGTAGTAAAGCAGCTCTCATCTTCGACAGATCGTGGGCGGCTGCTGTCCGTGTGCTCTTCACATGTTTCAAGTTGTTCGTTATCGGCGTCTTTGGGTCAGAGAAGTCACCACTCATTATTGTTTCAGCGTGTTTGCCAGATCCTCACGTGGAAGAGTGTGAAGAGATAGCCGCGGAGGTTTATGATCAGATTACTCGTGCTCGTGACGGACTCCGCGCCAAGTTTCCTCAGGCCAGCTGTTGTGTTCTGCTCGATGCAAATGTGGAGATTCCGCCTGGATGCAAGTTTATATATAATGGGGAGGAGTATGAGGCTACTGGAAAGGAAGGTACCCATATGGAAAGAAAGTGGGAGAGAGGGGGGATGGTACACATCAGATTGAGAGGGGGAGTCGGAGGAGGAGGCCGAAGGAGCTGCTCTTAGAGTTCTTGGAATCGCATGGACTGAAGGCCGCCAACACTTTCAATGCTAGGATTCATGCTTGGGGGTCGTGGGGGGAGAACAAGTTCCTGACTTCGAAGAGGGTCCTGGGTTACCTACTCGTCCCTTATCGTTGGGAGTTTTCGGATCTGGAGGTGAAATGGTGTTTTAAGAGGGGTGGTAAGAAGCAGGTCAGGAGATTATCAGATCATGCAATCACCACGGCGAGTTTCACGGACCCTGGGAAAGTGTTTGTTCGCCGCCCTGGCCCCCAGCCTGGTCAAAGTTTTAGGCCGTCCTTGGTCGGATACCAGTGTTCGGCTTGGGCTGATGAGCATCAGGCTCGGCGGCATATGGGTATGAATCTAGGCGGTGCGACTTTCGCTCGTTCGGAGTGTCCGCCTGTGCTCAGTTCCGAGTGCTTGCAGGGTACTATGCTGGGGGCGTGCGTGTCGCCTGCCGTGGACTTCTCCACCGCGCGGGCGGGGGGGCCAAAAGAGCCGTCCAGGCCGTTCCAGCTCACTAGGGCCGAGGGGGAGGTTCACATGTGTCCGAGGGAGGAGGTTCAGAGGTTGAGGAAGTTAAAGAGTTAGGCCCATCGTCTACGCAGAAGTTATCGACGTGAGATGATTTCATGCAGATGTCCCTAGACAAAACGTAAGGTCATATATACTATCAAACATTTGGTGGTGGATGGGAGGGAGGCGGAGGGTCGCGAGGGGTGTTTGTTCGTTTCAAGGTGTCGTCGGAGGAGGTACGCAATTCCACTAACACTATGATGGAGGAGATCAAAATGAGGGCTGAACATGACGTACGATCCACATCAGTTGTGGGAATTAGTATGGCACTGCTTCTCAGAGCACGGGCTCGACTGAAGACCAGAGGGCTACTGGGCCAGGTGGGATACCGTGCGAGATTCTCAGGAGTTTGCCGTGGTGTGCTCTCAGATCGATCCAGAAGTTGTTCGATGAAATCATCAAGCTCATGATTCCTTATCCGCAGTCGTGGCGTCAGACCCTCATCTCTTATATGCCCAAGATTCCAGGGATTACGAGGTTTAAATACGGTCGTTTGCTTTGTATGCAGAATGATGTTTCCAGATGGTTCAGTTCCTGTATTGTTCTCCTGGTTGAGGGTCATGTTGAGAGACACGGTGCTTTTCGTCATATTGGGTTGTATGGTTTCCAGGAACACCGACGTACACACGAAATTGCGGCTAGCCTCAAACATATAGGTCAACATGCTGCTAACTGGGGGAAAGGGGAAACGGCGCACCTGGCGAACGCAGATGTCCTCCAAGCGTTCGACCACTGCACGGTGGCCAATGTCAGGCGTGGGTTGGATCATGCCAATGTGCCCTTGTGCCTACAGTACCTACAGTATGCTCTACTTAACCCCCTGTGTGAGTGTGTCGGCACTGTCTATTATGATGGGATTGAGGTTTTGGAGGTGGAGTGGGACAAGTGTATTCGGACGGGGGGGCCTGAGGGCCCATTGGCCTTCAATCTTATCGTTGCCGCTATGTGGAGTTCTACGATTCGGGAATGGGACGTGCTAGGACTAGGTTATCGTATTGAGTTTGCTACTGGTTCGACTAGTTGTGTTTCGGTTATTAATCATTTCCTCTGGGCTGACAACTGCTATGTTCTGGCTCGGAGCCGGGAAGAACTCACGCGCAGGATACACGGTCTAACTACACATTTACATGATTACGGTATGAGATTGAAGGAGTCCAGTCTATTATAAATGGTGTTTGGTGCTGCTCCTCCGCGGGATGCGGAAGGGGAAATACTGCGGTCTGCAGATCTTGTTCTTTCGATTGAGTCGGAAAGCTGTGGAGTCTACCGTTTCAGAAAAGTGACAGAAATGGAGGTACTTGGGGCTCACATTTGTTCTGAACTACATGTGAACGAGCACCCATATTTGGATGCTAGTATTGACTCCGCTCGAAGGGCCTTCTGGGGTCAGGCTTCTTTCTTCCGCTCCACGGCCATTCCCTTGAAAGATAAGTATGAGAGATATGCACAGAGGGTTCAGAGTATCGTGCTTTACGCTGCAGAAGGTTGTACGGTTGATTCTTATTCTTTGAGTGCCATGCATATCTTGGAAGGCAAATGCCTGGCTGTCATGTGTCGTTGTGTACGGAGGGAGGAGGAAAGTTATCAGGAGTGGAACACGAGGAGGTATGAACGGGCAAGGCAGAAATTTCATGATGCACATTATGCGAGTATTGTACAAAGGTTCCTCCGAGTGCACTGGGCGTGGGCAATCGACGTGTATGATTTTGCGCATGAGCTGCTCACGAATCAGGAGGCGCTGGAGACAAATTCGACAATAGCTTGGAGAGATTCTCGATTCTCATGCCTGGCGCTTGGCCGGCTGTGGGATAGAACGATAACATATTCAAGCGAGGCTCTCAGATGTTGGGGAAAATGGAAGGAGGCCAGCTCACTGAAACGACATCGTTGGGGACAGGAGAGTGTAGGCCTTCGTTCGTGGTGTTTTTCTTTGGAATCGTTTTATGGTTTATCCTGGTGGGAGTCCTTTGTTGGGAGCTTTGACCATTTCATGGGTTTTGCCGCGCATGTTTGTTCTAATAGTATGTGGAAGTATTTCCAGAAGAAATGCAAAGGCTTGGCGTCTTCGGGGGTGCCTGTGTTCTTGAAAACTGATGAGGATGGAGGAGTTCATATCGGACAGGATCGGGAGGACATACCTGCATATAGGGAACGACTTAGCAAACGTATTGCGTTGCATAACATGCGTTGTACACAATGGGACCTCGAAGCGGGTGGGATACCATTGGACATCCAGGGGGACTCACTGCTAGTGATCAACTGGCTCTGTGGGAAATGGACAGTACTATCTCAGGTATATCAGAGAAGGGTAGACATTCTGATAAATAAGCTGGACGAGATGCAGAGTATGTACTCGGTGAGGCCTCCAGAGGCTGGCCGAGATTTCTTCTCTCATTCTTTTCGGGAATGGAACCGAAGGGCTGACTTGCTGACCCATCAGGCCCGCCAGGGCCAAGTGTACGCCGATTTTTTTACCCAGTGACGTCGAATCTCAGTGTTTTACTCCTTGCCTTATCAAAGCTGGCTTTGATGGGGGTGTATGCAGCCGCGGAAGCGCCTGTGGCGTGTGGATGCAGATTGGTCTGCGTAACAAGTACATCTTCGCGCGGACCGACATCACTTTCAAGGATGTGTATCGCGCAGCTTGGTGCTTGCCACCAAGTGCCACGGCGCCAGATACAGAGCTATCAGCGGCGGAGCGTATATGTGATGTGCTCCCACAGGTTGTGCAGAACTTCTTTGATCATTCGCATTCATAAGTCGCACTTTTTTCATCGCACTCATTTTTCTTGTTGTATATTCTAACAGCTTCGCTGTATTGTTTGATTTTTGTATGTTCTTATGTGTGCTTTGCGATTCATTGTGTCATTGCATGCTTTTGATTCTCTTTATTCCAACAGCTTCGCTGATGTGAAATACGAGCTGACTGCTTGCGTGACGAATAAGAGGCTCTGATTCGCCTGAGACTTCGTTGGGCCTGGCCTCAGTGGCCAAGATGGTCCCAGCAAAGACGCAAAAAAAAAAACCTGGTTAACGGTTTATCGCCGACTCACTGTTAGTACCTCGTAGAGCTCTTCGGCATCGATGAGCTAGAGGAATTCCGGCGCGGGTGGGAGCTTGTTGGCCCGCCCGGCCCGAACGGAGAATGTGGTGACCTGGGCTAGGTTTTTGGAAGATTGTGAGCGATTTATCTGGTTTGGCTTCCTCGCGCATATTGCCATTATGCGGCAAGCGCTAGTGTCCGAGGGGACCACAGGTTGTTTAGCGGTCTACAGACTTTCGGGTCAGGTCGCCCGTAACAAATATCAGTCAAAATCATTCGATCCGACACGGTAGTTGACGATGGCACAGGGGAATCGCGTCCACGACGTGTCCTTCTGCGGTTTGGATCCGTTTCGACTTTGCTCATGTCGGCGCTCCTCCGTCCCTTGTGCAGCGGGTTCCTCGTGTATGTGTGTGTGTGTGTGTGTTTGTGTGTGTGTGTGTGTGTGTGTGTGTGTGTGTGTGTGTTAGAAGGTCGGTTAAGAGTGGCAGAGGGAAGTCATCGCTGCTGGGGTCACTTGCTCGAAGCCGTCGGCAGACGGCGAGTCCGACATTTGTTCCCTTGATTGCGACTGCTCAACGAAAAAAAAAAAACGTTTTCGTGGAGTTTGCATGAGGGCGGAGTGGACGAGTGACGTGTCGTTCCAGAGGTATTGGTGGTTCCAGAAAATAAATGTCCTGTTTGAGTGCGCCTTTGTTTGACTTTCCCAGCGGAGCTAGTGCGACCCCCTGGTTTCGCCAGAACGGTTGGCAGATGAAATGGTGCTTTCCAAACGATATCATTGTCATCTCGCAGATGACCAGGGGGCGAAGGACGAATAACTAACCGGACATGGTTTCGAGAGGGGGCTACCGATATTGGAGGTATGCAGGTGGTTAAATCGTCACGTCGACAAACTATTTCCGACATGCATCATATCGCAGTCGTTATATGAAACGACATTTGCGCGCGTAGATGCACATAACATCGATCGATGAACATACGGGGAGGGAGGGAGGGAGATAGAGAGAGAAGCATACTGAAATACAGTCTAATGTTGACAAGAACGGATCAACAACCAGAGGCAACATCATCTACCTATGCAGAGATGGCGACGGTGCGAAGGGCAGCAACAACAATATCAAGACAGTGAGAGGCACAAGCGAACACGAGGCACCAGTGACAGAGCTGGTGGTAGAGGCAAATCCATCTCTGCACACAGGCCAACACGCCTGCGCACGCTTGCACACCCGCGGCACGGCGCGTCGCGAAACGGGCGGTGTGGACGTGGCGGGCGAGAGACGACTCGGCGTGCGAGAACGGGCCCGCGCCAGGGCGACCAGCGTTTCCCTTCAGCCACGCTCGGTCGAGCCAAGAGCAGGGGCACTCCGCGCGTGGCCGAGATCGCCACGCGGAGGGAAGCACGGGCACCCAGGGGGCACAGGCACGCAGGCACACGGGCAGACGGGCGACACGGCACGCGCGCGCACGGGGCGGCAGCCCACGGGCCGGCGGCCCCACTCGGCAAGTGGATTCCTGACGGTGCGGGCGCGCTGGCCCTTGCCAGGTGTTCGCCTGTCACATCTAAGGCGTGCCCCCGCCAGGGGGCCGCCACAGATGTGACAGGGGGGCTCCACCAGGCGAAAGAGCGCCCCCTTTCCTCGGTGGTCTTCCTGACCCCCGCGCCTGGTGGACGTGGGCCCCCTGATATGACAGTGGGTGTCCGCGGGATGCCCGGCTGCCAGGCTGGAAGAAGGCCATTTCCCTTCTTTCCTTCACCCTTCCCGCCTGCCCCCGAGATTCGACGTCGCGAACAAAAATGCACCATCGTGAGCAATCGCGACCGGGGTCCCCGACCGCATCTTTCAACGCCTTTTCTCGGGCCAGGTCGCTTCTTGAGGGCCCCGGGGGCCCGATGCCAGGCGGAATTGCCCGATGTGGTATCTTTGCAACGCCCAGTTCTCAGGATGCCCTCATCCGACTTCCGACTCCCTTTCGGCCCATTTCGCTTTTGAGGGAGCTTGCTCGCTGACAGCTGGTCAGGTGATACTCCTTCGCCCGGCCGGCTTCATCGCAAGAGCGGCACAAGTGGGAGCGCGAAGAGCGCACTCCATCCTTCAGATGGAGCCGTGCCTCACGGAGGCCGGTGGCATCATGAAATCTTATCGCTTTGCAGGCAGGCTCGTGGCTGACATGGCGGAGCCCGTGCTCCTCCTTGACCCCGCGCTGGAAGGCTGCCCGATCATGGGCGCCAGTGCAGGATTCTGCACTGCCACGGGGCGCTCCGTGGAGGAGCTCCTGGGCAGCAGTCTGGACAGCCTGTCGCAAGGCGTGCCGGTAGCCTGGCTGTCCCATTCCTCCAGCTGCAACCAGCAGAGCTTCTTCAGGGAGTGCGCGAACCCCGACCTCGCTGGGATCGCGGAGACCGTTGTGATACAGCCGCAGGCCCGGCATGACGGCTCCGTTTTCACAGGCTTCACCATTCGGAGAAACGCAAGGCTCGTGTACGCCGGGACTCGGGTTCGCCTGCGCTTCTTGACGAGCACGTCCCGGATTTCGACGGCCCATTTTCGTGGGATGTTTGCAACGGGAGCTCGCGTCAAGTTCCAGACTGGGTCTCGCCATTCTCCTGATGGCCCCGGTCAGGCTAGCCTTCGGTCGGGCATGTCTCCCTACATGCGGGTTTTGGGCCAAAGATAAAACACATTCAACACATATTCAAAATTGGAAAAAATCCTAAACAATTCGTCCACATATTATTTTTTGACAATTTTTGAGCATTCCTCCTGTAGAGGAACAGGCCCGACTTACGGCTAGCCCGAGTCCCCCCAACCCGAGTCTTGCGTCTCCCCGAGCCATCCACGGGCTCTGCGTGGTCCCCTCGTTTGCAGGGCTCCGCAAGTACGTCGTCAGTGCCGTCCTCCCCCTCGGGGAGGGCTGCCAGCAGCGCCTGGGGCGGGCCGTGCACGCGCAGCTGGAGGAGCGGGGGCGCGGCATCCTGGAGAAGGCCAGGGCCCTGGTGAGCACCCTGCGCAGCCCAGACTGGTGCGGCGAGGTGATGGGCCTGTTTTCCACCACCACCACCATAAGTTGGGGGGTGAGGGGGTCCTCCTCCTACTCCTCCTCCTCCTCGTCCTCCACCTCCTTCCCCCCTCCAATTTATGGTGGTGGTGGTGGTGGAAAACACACAAACACACCATCAGGGGAAGCTCGACCTCAAGTATCTTGAGCAGCCCATCTTCAGCTTCTACACGAGGAGGCTCGAGGGGCACGCCGTCGTCACAGGTGGCGGCCGAACCGCAGTCCGCAGGGAGTGCGGGGAGCTGCCCACGGGGTGTCTGATGTTTGGCGATCGGCCTGCACGGAAGACTGCGCAGGGCCTCGCCTTCCGGGTGCGCGTCGAGTCCACCACGAGCAAGTTCTCAGGGCTGCCTTTCGTCGGCTTCACAACGAGGAGGCCCTGCGGCCAGTCCGGCGGACTCCCCCTGCTGTCGAAGTGCCTCGCGGAGAGCGTGGTCGTCGGTGGGTGCGGCGAGGCGTTCGCCCGAGACAAGAGCACGCACTACGTCATGGGGTTCAAGCCGCCCCCCACCACCGAGATACAGTCTTGGTCGCTGCAGCCGGACGTGCCTCCCCACCGGCGCGAGCCGCCGGCGGTTGTGCACGCTGGCGACCTGATCGATTGCATGTACACATGGGACGGGCGACAACACAAAAAACATCCCTATCCGCGGTATCGCGGACCGGGCCCTTGGGCCGCGACCCCGCGTGTTTTTCGCGGATGCCCCGCGCGGAACGTATCCGTGCGACCGCGCATCCGTGGGGTCGCGCCCCGGAATCCAGGCCGCAAGGGCGCGGATACGGAGATGTTCGCCGCTCGTGAGGACGGGCGCCTCCAGTTCCTCATCAACGACACCACTGTGATGGACTTTGACACCGGGCGGCCGCTGGCCGAGGACGCCCACTACTACGCGGTGGTGGACGTCTGCTTCTCGACGGCCAGCCTCACGCTGATGCCGAGCTCGAAGCCCTCGGCATTCCGGGCCACTGAGTTTAGCAGCGTGAGCACCATCGCGCCCTGCGACCTGAACTCCACCAGCGCTGGCGGCCATACGGCCTCTGGCTCCACGTGCCTTGAGCGCCAGTCCACTGGCTCTAGCAGCTCCAGCGGCCGCTCGGAGGACCTCGGAGCGCAGCTCTTCGACGAGGACGACCCTGGCAGGAGGTGCTTGCCCCTGGCGGAGACGATCCTGCGGCGGGCTTTGTACGTTGGCATGTTCGGGATCGAGCTTCCGTCCGCCAGGCATGAGTCCCTCGGGACTTCGGAGACGAGTCGGCAATTGCCTTGTGCAAGTGATGCGGGCCTGAGGCGCAGTTCGCCCCAGACCCAGGGCTCTCGTTGAGCCTGGGGGCATGCTTGTTTTTCTCTCGTTCCTCCTCCACCTCGTCCTTGAGACCCCTTCTCTTTTCCATCCGCTCCTCTCCATTCCTCCTCACGTCTCATCCCTGTTTCAGCATTTCGCATTGCCAGCGTGCGATCTGTCAATGGATGCAAGGGTCGCCTCGGTGCGAGCATGAGGCGCCCGGATCTACTGATCCTGTTCCACTGCGCCAGTCACATGCATTCGTGTTGGAAGCGACAGTAGGTTACCAGTAGGTAAATTTTCTGGCAGGGGTCAGACCTGCTCGTATTTTCATGCAGGGACTTTGCGAGGACTATGATTCCAGCGATCATGTCTGCGAGTGACAGAAAAGCCTGCGCAGCGCATTCTTCGACCCAGATGTACACTGGAGTCTATTTTCGAATTCCCTGTTGTACGCGATGTATTCTTGATTTTCAGAGCATCTCTCCGCGAAGCTCGGAGGCATGGATCATATCGCTGCCAGGGTTAGTAACCGACGTCTGCGTGCCACACTTCCATTGCGCCTACGGAATCGTGGCCGTGGCGGCCCAGGGCTACGAAATCGCAGTCCCGCTTGGCAGCCCTAAGATGCCCTCCTCCCCCGTCGCCTCACCGTCCGTTCCCCCTTCGGCGCTCGTGTCCTCGTCGTCGTCGTCGTCGTCCTCCGACTCACGTGGCGAGCAGTCCCGGTTGTCACTGTCCCTTGTACCTCGCGCCCCTACCTGAATCTTCTCGCGCACCTTCTTTTATCGGGGGCGGCCAAGAGGGGGGGGGCCCCCCTCTCGGCAGCTCCCGACTACCTGAATCTTCTCGCGCACCTTCTTTTAGCGCGGTCTCATCCTCGGAGTGGGTAGCCACAGCAGCGTCGCCTGCTCATCCGAGCTGGAGTATGGTGCTTCGCTCAAGGGAGCCGTCAGATGCACCCGCCTTCCCTAGATCCTTCTTCCAATTCGAGTGCACATCAATTTGTTGTCTGGATCCATCGTCTGCCATCGAGTAATGTCAATACTGGTGCGAGCCAGGCCCGAACAGCGAGTCACGCCCGCCGCTCAGTCTTGTACAGTCGCGCGATTGAGCGCTCTCTCTGATGCCCTAGAATTCGTAGCTCCTCCTAGCATTGACGTGCTGCGGTGTAGGAGAACACCGTAGTCTCTTGCGGCCAATCGTATCGCGTGGGCACGTAGCTCGACGCCAACCGTGGCCAGCCAGTACGCCAATATAGGGAGACTCCTGGCGCTGTACCCGCCTTGGTCAAGAAGTAGTGGAGCGAGAGTTGTGGAAACCAGATGTGTGGAACATGACAGGCAGACCTTTAACCACGTCTCGTGTCGCAGCATGCTTTGAGGAGCCCGCTCAATAGACCAGAGTCACCCGTGATCCCCGTCTTTCTTGTTACGAGTCGCAGCGCTGACCTGGCTTCATGTTCGGGTCGAATCAGGCGGCAGGAGGTCCTTCCTCGGACCGACCAAGGCGAGGGGTCCCCAGAGGTCTCCAGAGGTTCGGGGGAGGCACAGGCACGACCAACAACGCCTAAGTGTCTTCACCCTCGATTCTCTTCGATCCGCGCTCCTTCTCGCCTCTCCCGCGGCCGCTGTGCTCCTGATCGTGGTGCATATATCGAAGACACCTTCGGCGAACCACCGCCGCCGCCCGGCCTTTTTGGAAACGCCTGTGTGGCCAACCGTCGGGCCGACGTCTTGCCAAACTATTGGGCTATGTATTCCCCCAGCCGTTGCGGAAACCCTTGAGGGAACATTCGGGGGAGGCATAGGGAGACGAGATGATGATTGAGGGTAAACTGGGGGGCTCTTGGGGCCTCATGTGGGCCTAATGGGGGCTTCTTGGGGCCTCTTGTGCGCCTCTAGGGGGTCTCTTGGGGTCTCCTTGGTGGTCGCTGGAGGTCTTGGCAGTCTCGGGGCATTTTTGGGTCGTCTCAGGCCTACCGAGGCCGTCTTGAGGGGCTCTCTGGGCAGTCGTGGGGGTCCCTCTTGGGGCGCGGTTGGGGCTGTCTTGGAGGTCTCTTGGGCAGTCTCGGGGCCATCTTGGGGGGCTCTTGGGTTGTCTTGGGTCGCTCTTGGCTTAGGATCCCCTTGGTGTGTCTTTGGGCCATCTTGAAGGCCTGTGGGGCTGTCTTCGGCTCCCGGAAACCCGAAACGTTGAGAACATGGAAGTGGCTCAATCACCCCAGGACAATCATTGGTTCTGGCCTTTGGGGCCCTGTCGGAAGGCCTCTTCGAGCCATCTTGGGCCGTCTGAAGATCTTCTTCAGCCGTCCAAAGGCAGTCTTGGAGCGACTTGAGGCCATGTTGGGCCGTCCACCACCACCAATACCACTGAGCCGAGCATCCAGAAGGACGCGTGGGCAGAAGATCATGCGATTGGCAACTCTTTGGGAAATTATGAAAAAGCGAATCGGAGACAAAAACGGAACGGATCACGACAGTGAAGCAGAGAAAGGAACGCCCGACTGAAGCAGAAGACTGGATTCGAGGCATGTTGGGATAACTAGGATACTACTACAGTTAGTGGACTATTGTTGGTGGTGGCATCTTCATGATCATGTCTTACCGGGAATGTTGTAGGGCGCAAGTCATGCTCTGAACCTCATTCCATCCGCAGCTGCTTAAACTCCAGTGGCGCGACTTCAGAGCGCGTCATGTCGTCGGTCCTGGCCGATCGGCCGCGCGACCTCCTACCACACCGACCGACCGACCAACTGACGCACCGACGACGATCACGACGACGACGAGGACGGCGACGACGACGGCGACGACGGCGATGACGGTGACGACGATGACGACGGCGCCGGCGACGACGACGATGACGACGACGACCGACAACGACCGCCTGAGACAAACCGACAGACCCGACCGACCGATCGATTGATAACCACACCGACCGACGGACCAACCGCACGCGCACGAACGCACGCGCGCATTGGCCCCGTTTCGAGAGCGAGGCGTGAACTCAGTGCCAAGAACCGCGCCCCTGGGCCCGACCCGTCTCCCCCCGCCTTATTTTTGTGTTTGGAATCTTTAGCGGCGTGTTGCTACATCCACAAGTTTTTTACGACGGAGTGTGCCAGCCATTCGTGCCGACAAGACGAGCGCGTTCCAGCCTTGTAGCCTTTACGTGGGAAAGCGTTCCCGGCCGCCCACGGTGCTGGTTCCAACCCTGAAGTGTTGCGAGGGAAGGTGCTCCAGCCGCTCATGCCGACAAAACGATGGCGTTCCATTCTTGTTTTGTTACGAGGAACACGTTCCAGCCACCCATGCTTCAAATTTTACGAAGGGAGCGTGCTCCAGCCGCCCATGCTGACAAGAGGAGTGCGCTCCAGGCTTGTATTTGTTGTTCGACGGGGAACGTTCCAGCCGCCCACGGTGCGTCCACCTCGTCAAATTTTCCATTAGCCACCGATTGGCCAGCCAGCGGACTATTGTTGGTCATTGCTCTCCCAACCATCTTGTGGTGTTGGGTGTTTCGTTGTCAAGAGACAACGTCTACACCTCCTCTCGCTCCCCCTTGCTCCTCCCTCCCCCAACCTGGTTTCTGCCTTCCGCACCAGTCAACCATGTCGGCACACCCCTCACGCGTTCGTGGCTCCATAGGGAACTCCACCGAAGGCACCAGTGGCTGCGTTCGCATGCACCCACCGCACCAATGTCGGCACACCCCTCACACGCTTCGTGGCCCCATGGGGAACTCCACCGAATGCCCCAGTGGCTGCATTCGCATGCGCCCACCGCACCAATTTTGCATGTTTCGTCGCCCCAGTATTGCTGCTTTCGCTTACGCCCACCGCAGTCAGTTCGGCACACCTCTCACATGTTTCGTGGTCGTACGGGGAGCTCCACCGAAGGCCCCAGTGGCTGCGTTCGCATGCACCCACCGCACCCATGTCGACACAGTCCTCACACGTTTCGTGGCGCTTTTGGGGGATTCACCGAACGCCCCAGTGGCTGCATTCGCATGCGCCCACCGCATCCATGTCTGGACACCCTCACACGTGTCGTGGCCCCATAGGGAACCCCACCGAACGCACCAGTGGCCGCGTTCGCATGCGCCTGTCGCACCTTGGCCAGCTCACCCCGCAAACGTTTCGTGGCCTCACAGGGACTTCCACCGACGGCCCCAGGCCCTCCTTGGGGCCATTTCGGAGCGATCTCGGTGGCATCTCGGGCCATCTTGGACTGTCGGAAGCCCTGGAACTCTGGTAGAGCGAGAATCGCTCACGTTTGGTTCAAGCATCGTTGTGGAATTTCAGTGACCTGACCACATCCTGAGGCCCTCCTGGGGGCCCTCTGGGGCAGTCTTGGGGGCTTCTTGGGCCTTGTTGAGGCCATCGTGGGCCGTCGTGGGGGCTCTGGGACCGTCAGGGGCCCCTGCAGCTCCCTGGAGGCGCTGCGAGGGGGCTCTGAAGCCCGCGCCTGGGAGTTCCGATATTTCTGGCAGGACCTTGTGGGGGATTTACCGAGGCCTGGGCAGGGCACTTTTCTTCTGGGGACTCTCGCCAGCGGCCGCGCTCGAGCGAGCTAGCAACGTAAAAGTTATCTGAGCCTCTTGCCAGAGCTTCTAGCACGCTTTTGGCCCGTTGGGTGGGCGACTTTCTTTGCTTTCGAATGTTCTTGATCCAATCAGCGTCGCCGGTGAGGGCCAGCATATTCCAAATCCATTTTAGTGCCCAGACGGCAATTGCCAATCCTGGTTGATACAGCCGTCGAGTCTGGCTTGAAAACGGGGGTCGGGACAATGCGCATGGGTCTTCGTGGACGCGTGGACGTCCGCTGTCGCGCCAGCGAGCCTCAGTTGGGGCGCCGTTAGGGCAGTGAATGGGGCTGGGGGACCTCATATGCGACGGGCGGCGATCTTCCATTCGCGATCGCCCGTGTACGCGCGCGCATCCATGAATCGTGTTCCACGTAAGGAGGAAGAGAAGAAGGTTGAGGAGGTGGAGGAGGGGGAGGCTGAGGAGGATGTCGGGGAGCCCACTCGGGACTGTTCCGTTTGTGTCCATGCAGGCTGCGGCCAGAATTCATTTAGCAGCCTGAAAGACTCTTGCTCCTGAGTCCTGCGCGCTGGAAGTCGACGCCGGCGTCCCGCCTCCTCCTCCTGCTGCCGCGGCTCAAACCGAGTGGCGCCCCTCCTTCCCCCCTCCCCCTTTTTTTTGCCCGTAGCGGAGGCCGGGACATGGGAAGGTGGTTGGATGATGGGGAGAGGTGGTCAGTTGGTGCAGGGTCTTCGTTTCCAGCTCGTCGCGTGGTTGCCATATTTCTCTGGATTTGCCCTGGCCTTCCCCACAGTTTCCCTTGTGTTCCCCTTATTTTCCCGAAGTTCAGATGTCTCCTCAGGCTTCTCCAGACTTCCCGGCGCTGCGGCGCCAGTCACCCCTGTCCGCGCCAGGGCGGGCTCCGCCCGCAGGTGGGTGTCTCTCCCCAGACTTCCCTGGCGAAGTGAAGACCTTGCACCAACCGGCAAGGGGATGAGGCTGGAGGAAGGGGGATGGTGACGCAGTGCGGGCGCAGTTGCAGCCGCGGGCGTGCCAAGAGCAGGAGGATGAGTAAGGCGGAGAAGGAGGATGAGGAAGAGGAGGAGGAGGGGAGGAGAAGGAAAAAGACGAGAAGGAAGAGGAGGAGGGATGGTGGTGATGATGATGGTGGTGGTTATATTGTGCATGGTGATGGTGGCGGTGCTGGTGGTGACGATGGCGAGGATGATGCAGTGATGCGCTTGCTCTTGATAATGTGAAATGATTTTTGGTAGTGATGGAGGTGCCGATGATATTTATGACGATCGCGTAGTGCTTCGATGCCTAGCGGGTGCGGATCGCTCAACGCCGAACCCGAATGACGACGATAGCGATGACGATGACGACGATGATGACGATGACGATGATGATGATGATCATGATGATGCTGATGCTGATTATTAGTATTACTATGATTATTCTTACTCTCGCTATTATTGTATTTGTCAGCATGATAGGTAGTACTAGCTTTATCATTATCAGTATTATTTTTACTCTGCTTATTATTGTTTTTTTGCACGATGATTATGACGGTAATGGTGATGGTCATGACGATGATGCTGATGATGATGATACTGAGGATGATGGTGGTGGTTCTGAGTGTGGTGGTGGTGGTAGTGGTAGTGATGATGGTGATGATGATGCTGCTGCTGCTAATGATTATCGTGGTGGTGGTGATGATGATACGGACGATGATGATGATACTGCTGGTGCTGACGATGATGATTACGATGATGATGACAGTTGTGATTCTGCAGCTGCCGATGATGATTACGATGATTGTGATGATGCTGATGGCGATGATGATGGTGATGATGATGATGTCGATGATGATGGGAATCTGATTATGATGTTGATGTAGATGTTGACGTTGATGTTGA